TGTATACAAAGCTAGTCTTTGAAAGTTCTTTAATGAATTTTTATATAAATATAAAAGTATTTGTCAATAACTTGTTTGTCGTTTAACTTTTCATCGTAAAAATGATTTTAAATGATTTTAAATTAATTCGTTCTCTTTGACAAAATTTATAAGAGGGAGGGGAGCAAGCGTCATCTCCTGCCTCCTCTTTTATTATACGTTCGCCTATGTCACACTTTAATTATTTTAAAAGATTGATTGAAAAATGAATCACTCTTTATATTTAAATATCTGTTGCATAAATATCTTTTAAAAGTTACGTATACATATATAATTTTCTTTATGTTTTATACTTTAAATATCGAGGGAATAGATTTTCTTGAAATTTCCATGTTGCGCGAGAAAGTTACGTATAAATTTTTGTTTAAACAAAATAACTAATTCGGAAGACACACTGCTATAATATATATAAATATCCTCAAATTTTTATATTAAAACGAACGAATTTTCTAAGACATTTTGATAATTATTGATTGATTAAATCTCGATAGGAAATTTTAACTTCGCAATGATATATTAATTTGAAAGATCTGCTGCGATAAAAATATTTAAAAGCAAAAGGAGAGCTTAAAGCTTTTCCTGAAATTTAGAATTGCCAACCAGACAGATCTAATAATAAATAAGGAGCAGACTTTCAAAATGCAAAAATGACATTTTTGTCCAAAATGTCATTTTTTAAAATTAGAGATGACGTAGTTCAGTGTTGAATGACTTATATATTATAAGCTATTCTGAGATATTCAGAAAGCATTTTTTCATCATTTATATGCTGAAAAAACAGACATTTTTATTGCATTATGTTTTTTTTTAACTAGAAACAAATAAAATGCATTTGTTTAATATTTTGAACAATTGTTAAGCAATTTTGTTTAATATTTCACATCCTATTGACGTATTGTTATTTTCTGTAAAGTGCATAATTTTTTTGTGTGCATAGTTTCTTTCTTTTTCTGAAAATTACAAATTACAAATTTTGGATAAAACATATTTTGAAAGTCTGCTCCTCAAATAAAGTGTGGTACATTCGCTGTGCTTGCAAAGTACGCTCAGAATACCCGCAGAGTGCGATGGGCCACTATCAGCTGTGAAAACAGCGTTGTTTATAGACACCGCAGTACAATGAGGTGTAATTGAATCCATATTCTACTGGGGAGTGTGTGCCTGGTGAACCCGAACCCTCTCGACGTCTCGAGGGGGGCTAGCGGAACGGTAGCCCCTAGGCCCTCGGGTGGTTATACTTAACGGTTCGGGAAATCGAGGGTAGCCGTCGATTTGTGGACAATTAGGGACGATTTCGTATACTGGGCGAAGGGGAAGAGGCGAGTCGCGTATAACCCCGATCGATTCTAAATTTTCATCGTCTGATAAGATGCGTCTCGTGCCATTCGATAAAGCGTCTAATGATTGCTTGATGCTTTTTGATTTGAGTCCTCGGTTTTGAAAAGATTTCAAGAGAAATACAATTTTGAATTGCTTACGAAATCCTTCTTGTGCGCTTGTGAAGAATCTGGAGAAATCCTCGGGTGACTTTCGGACGAACATCCCTTCTCATCATACTCAAATTGTATAATTTTAATTTATTTATTTTATATTTTTATCTTTATTATAACGAAATTCAATTTAAATTCTTATTAAAAATATGAAATGTTAAAAAATAGACACTTGAAAGGTAAATAATAGATTCCTTTAAAAAGAGGGCTGACACGAAATTTATAATTTATAAAATCTACTTATAAAATCTAAAACGAAATTAGTTCCAATAATTATAAGTGGAGTTTGTTTTAAGGAAATTAGTTTGAATAATATGTTCGTAAATAGTGATAAGAAATATTAATATTAAAGAAGAACAATATAAACTTGTATCAAAGTACTTCTTATTACAATGTATGTATATTCTCGAAAGAGAATATGAATCGGTTTATGTAACGTTCGAGTGACCGAGAGCTTATCTAGGTTGACGCAGGTGTGTCGATACACCTGCCCTTATCGCTCACACGCTCGATCAGGGTGTACGATTTTTTTAACTTTAAGCTGATATACGCGAGCTAAGTAATACCTGAATAATAAAAAAATATGTGAGTTCGTAATTTAAAGAAAAAGATCACATATTAATTTTAATGACACAATGTTCAATCCTTTAAAATCTGTATAGATAAAGAAGATATAATAATATTTCTTATCAGAAGTAAAAGTAATTTAGAATCTCATTTCGTCACGAATGTTGCAAGATATAGTAACTCGCGATGATTTTTATGTTTTTTAAAACTCCTCACCGTCTTGGATTGTGACATCACAAATGAGAAAAATATATAAAGAAAATTCTTGCAAACTATATTAAAATATATTTTTTAATAAAACAACTTTTGTAATAT